CTATATTACTGTAGAAACTTCCTAACTGGTCTTTCATACAATCTTCTTTCCTATCCTGAGTTTATCACTCCAATGGCTAAAGTCCTGTAACAGTTTCTCACTCTTGTCGGTGAAAAATTTAAACCCTCAGCATGATTTCATCTCTTACAATTACACAAACATATATTCTATACTTTAGCCATTGTCAGGTACCTAACTGCCTGCTTGTTCTACTTGCCTCTGTATATCCTGTTTCTTTGTCTCTCTCTTAAAAAAATTTCTAGAGAGTGCATATGCTCCCTGGAGAAACAGATAGAGAGATAGAGAAAGAGAGGTCAGAAAGCACCCCTCGAGGGGTATCGTCATGATGCAATCCCTTCTCCTATGTTTCCCCCTCCTTCTGGGATTTTGGGCACACACACGCTTCTGCCCCGTGTGTTTTTCAAGCCACAGGGTCTAGGACTTGAACCACACTGTTGGCCATGTTGGATCCAGTCACTAACTACAAGGGCACAGGCGGACCCTGTCATTTCTTTATACATTATTTTTTATTCGTGGTAACATGTGAGTGCGCACATGAGAGAGAAGAGCTTCTTCAGGGCTCAGGTATGTCGTCGTGATCCCCTTCCTCCAATCTCCAACCGGCTAGGATGCTGGGCGTGTGTACGCTCCTGGTACGGTGCAAGCTGACACACGCTCAGCATCCTAGTCGGACGCACAGACTGCAGTTAGCATGTGGCTCTCAGCTCCTCAGGTGGTATGCTACCACTATGCCACAGAGGCTGGGTCTGTCTCCTTGTCTTTAATTACCACCAGCCTCCTTTCAACTTTATTCCAAGCACAAGTGTCATCTCTTTTGCAAAGCTTTCTCCGATTTTCCATAAGTTTACATGGTTTTCTTCTCTGGAATCCGAAAGCATCCAGTGCATACTTTCATTACACATGTTAAAGTATATTGTAATTGATGGCTTCCTCCTCTATCTCCCATCTCTGCATCCCCAGCACTTAGAAGACTGTTTATCACATAGGAATGCTAAGTGAAGGAAAGAAGGTAGAAAAGAGAAAGGACTTTTTAATGTAATCGTAAAAAGGTCATTGGTGATTTAGGATAAAGTTTAGGGAGGTAAGGAGGAGAAAAAAAAGATTACATTTACACGGGAAGAAAATCAGAAAAGTGGGAAGGAAATATTCAAAGTGTTCACTAAAAAAATCTGGCAAGGTAAGGGTAAAGAAATTGATGAAAGGTAAGTCAAAATGAAAGATTGATTTTTTTTTAAAGAATTGTTTTATTTAACTTTATTTATTTATTTTAATTTGACCAGGGGGAGACAGAGAGAGAGAGAGAGAGAGAGAAAGCAAGCCGCCAGGTCCAGGACTCGATCCGCAGTTGGCCTGGGAGTCCAGCGTCCTTAACCACCACACCACCTGCCGGCCCCGAAAGATTGATGTTTTTAAAACTCAGGGTAGCTGACCAAGTAAGGAGGAGAAAAAGGAAACAAGTAGGGAAGAAAAGACAGAAGATGAAAAAATAGAGTAATCACATTCTATACTAGGAGGACAGGGTAAAAACTGAAAAAGGCTGGACTTAGACTGACAATGTATAAGATAGCTGTAGAAACACAGATGCTTTAAGGTGAACATAAAACGCTCCCAATTTTAGGTATCTGAATTCTAATTATTTCAATTTCCCAAACTAGAAATTAAAAAAAAAAAATCTTTGACATGTTCCTTTTCTCCAGCTGCTAAATATTAATCATAAACTCTTATCATCTCTTCTTTCTAAATACCTTTTAGGTAGATTCTTGCTCTTCCCACTGCCATTAGGATCCTCAAGCCTTTGCAATAGCAAAGTTCCAAAGCAGTATCAAATTCTTAAATTCAAATTTAACAAGAAGTCCACAGCCAGAATTTTCTTTTTTTTAATGGAGAGATTTTCACTGTAGGGCGCGTGCGCTCGCCAGACAGACAGAGAGAGACATAGAGACAGAAAGCGAGAAATCACCCCCCAGGGGGGATGGTCACGCCGCAATCCCTTCTCCTCCATTCTCCTCTCGGGATCTTGGGCACGCACGCACACGCGCCTGGCGTGAGTTTTAAGCCACCGGGTCCGGGACACGAACCGCGGTTGACTATGTGGGAGTCCAGCGACATAGCTATTACGCTAACTGCTGGTTCCCAACCAGAATTTTCTTAAACATCTCTGTGAAGCTTTTTCTGAAACCACAAGGATTAATTACTCCCTCCTCTATGCTACTACTGTATCTAGTAAACAGGAAGTGGCGAACTATGGCCCAATGGTCAAATCTGGACTCTTGGGGCTGGCAGATGTCATGGTGGTTAAGGGCACTGGACTCCAACATGGCTGACCGCAGTTTGAGTCCCATCCCTGGCACCCTGGCAGCTTGCTTTCTCACTTTCTCTTCCTCTCTCTCTCTCTCTCTCTCTCCCACTCTCACTCTGTCCCACTCTGATCAAATTAAAATAAGTAAATAAATAAATGAAGTTAAACAAAATAAAAATCTGAACTTTCTATTTTTGTTTTTTGTTTTTTTTTTGGGAGAGATTTTCACTGTAGGGCGCGTGCGCTTGCCAGACAGACAGAGAGAGACATAGAGACAGAAAGCGAGAAATCACCCCCCAGGGGGGATGGTCACGCCGCAATCCCTTCTCCTCCATTCTCCTCTCGGGATCTTGGGCACGCACGCACACGCGCCCGGCGTGAGTTTTAAGCCACCGGGTCCGGGACACGAACCGCAGTCGACTACGTGGGAGTCCAGCGACATAGCCATTACGCTAACTGCTGGTTCCCTGAACTTTCTATTTTTGTAAATGGTGTTTTATTGGAACATGGCCATTTCCATTAGACTGCATATTGTCTATGGCTGCCTTCAAGCTTCAATAGCAGAACTGAATAGTTGGAATAGAGACAGACCACAGGACTCACAATGTCTAAAATACTTACTATCAGGCTCATTATAGAAAATGTCAACCCTTGGACAATACTATCATACTTAGATTTTACTTCCATTATTTCCTTACACTTAAGTAATAAATACTGATATCAGGTAGTTACTGAGATAGGCATTGTTCTGCCTTTTTTTTTTTTAAAAGAGGTTTTTGCCTTAGGGCACATGGAGATAGAGCCAGTGAGAGGAAAAGCGAGAAATAACCCCGGGGGAATGGCCATGCCACATACCTTCTCTTCCGTTTTCCTCCCAGGATCTTGGATACGCATGCACATGTGCCCCGTGTGAGTTTCAAGCTATTGGGTCCGAGACTTGAACCATGGTCAGCCATGTGGGAATCTAGCAATGCAACCACTATGCCATCTGCTGGCCCCATCTCATTTAATTTTTACGACATTACTAAAGAGGCAGATACTATTATTTCCATTTTACAGACGAAGAAATTGAGGCCTCTCATTCCAAACCCACGGTCTTAACCACCACACTGCCTACACTATCTTTCTTAAACAGACTGTGATCTTACAAGAGCAAGGGTCACGCCGAAGTCATCTATTCCCAGAGCCCAGCACACTGCCTGATAGGGCAGAGATTCTACTACTCTTACTAAAATAATCACTTTCAACTTAGAAAAGGAATTACTGCCCAGGGGGATGGCCACACTACAATCCCTTTTACCTTCTCCCAGCTCAATCCCCTATAACAACTCTGTATTGCTTCTTGCATCAAGTCTAAACTCTGACTTGCTTGAGGCTTTAAGTCTAACCATAATGTGGGACTACTTTATGAGGGGGTCTTCAAAAAGTTCAAGGAAAATGAGCACTATGAAAAAACTACGAATGGATTTCAAAATCTTTTTGCACCAAAATAAACTCGTATTTTGTTTTTCCATGGATTTTCTTATTCTTTTGCTAGAGAGCATGCACGCTTGCCAGAGAAAGAGATAGAAAGAGAGAGAAGGAGGAGAAAGCACTCCTGACAGGGGATGGTCATACTGCAATCCTTCTCATCCCTTTCTTCCACTTTTTGGAATTTTTGGGTGTGTGCTGCATCCTGGACTGGAACCATAAGGTTGGCCATGTGGGATCTGGCTGCTTTAACCACCAGGAGTCAGTCCTCTGTAGTTTCTGTTTTGTTTTGTTTTTTAATTGTCAGAAAGCAATGCATACTTGACAGAGAAAGAACTCTCTGCTGGGGTGAGGTCACAATGCAATCCTTTTTCCTCCATTTCTCCAGCCTATCAGGACTTACAGGCACATACCCACATGTGTCCAGTATGCATTATTTTTAGAGAGATTTGTGCTATAGGGAGTGTGCACTCGCTGGAGGGACAGAGAGAGAGAGAGAAAGTGAGAAATCACTGTCTAGAGGAATGGCCATACTACAATCCCTTCTTCTTCACTCTCCTCTCAGGATTTTAGGCACACACACACATGCATCCAGTGTAAGTTTCAAGCCTCTGGATCCAGGACTCAAACTTATGTCGGTCATGTGGGAGTCCAGTGCCTTACTCATCATGCCACCTGCTGGCCCCCACACATTTTTTTTTTTTTTTTAAACAGCAAGACTGGAATTTGAAGCACAGTCAGCCATGTGGAATCTAGTTTTCTTAACCACTGAGCTATGGGGCCAATTCCAATGAATTTTTTGAAGGACCCCCATGTTTAGCAAAGTTCAAAGGCTTAATATTATTTAACTTTGGGAACCAGCAGTTAGCGTAATGGCTATGTCGCTGGACTCCCACGTAGTCGACGTGGTTCGCGTCCCCGATCCGGTGGCTTAAAACTCACGCAGGGCGCGTGTGCATGCATGCCCAAGATCCCAAGAGGATGGAGGAGAAGGGATTGCGGCGTGACCATCCCCCCTGGGGGGTGATTTCTCGCTTTCTGTCTCTATGTCTCTCTATCTGGTGAGCACACACGCCCTATAGCAAAAACCTCTCCCCCAAAAAGAAATATATTATTTAACTTTTACTTCAGAATTGGCTACTCTTTTGCTATAAGCTGTCTGACCATGATCCAACATATGAGATAAACTAGGCTTGTGAACAGGACTTACCTGCCGTCACGTGATCTGTGGAGGCTGCCGTGGTAGCTGCTCACTTTGCTGTGGACACTCCCTGCTTTGCTTCTTTGGTCATCCACCATGGCCAGTTGAGTGGAAGAAGCATGTGTGGATGTTCCTTGAGTAGAAGTTCCCCTTGACTTTCTTATAATAGGAGTATTTGGATCCCTTAGGAGTGACTGAGCAAAATCAGGTTCCTGGAGTACCTGTCGGCTCTCATTTACTATCCTAGACAACAAAATAGGGAGTTTAAGAAAGATAGGGGACCAGGGAGGAAAACAAAAAAAAAAACAAAGGAAGAAAGAAAAAAAGCTTAAGACATACACATCCCTAGAAACTAAACAATGTTTCCATGCAATACTGATCTTATTCTTGAAATTGTTCTCCAAATTAAATCATTATGATTGATACACAGTGACACTGGCAAAAGAAGAAAGAATGTAACAAAAATCCATGTCAATCTGCCCCCTAAAGTTAGTATGATAGAAAGAGGCCTGTCTTAAAATAAGGAAATCATAATTTTTGCTCCAACTTTAGCGATAAATTTGTGATCTCAGGCAAGTCTCTAACCACGCCTTCCTTCATTTTCTAGATGAGGAAATTTTAAAATTTCTAAAAGGTATCCTTCAGTTAAATTTATAATTCTTTTAAGACATCGAGGGGCTAGCAGGTGGTGTAATGGTTAAGATGCAGGACTCCCACATGGCCGACTACAGTCCTGGACCTGCTTGACAATCACACTGGGTGTGTGTGTGCCTGTGCCCAAAGTTCTGAGAGGAGAATGGATGGTGGCTATCACCCCTAGGGGGTGCTTTCTCGCTTTCCCTCTCTGTGTCTTTTGTCTCTTGCTCTCCCTGTGACAAAAACCTAAAAGAAAAAAAAAAGACACTGAACTATACAAAGATATAATAGAAACATTGTTCTCTTATATGGTTTCTGGATGTAGGGAGGCTTCACTGTAGCATAAATACAACATTTTTCAACTTGTAAGAGCATTTGTTTTAAGGCTATAAGTTGATTTTATAGCAGAATCAGTTTTCTAGGGTCAGAATAAATATGAATAGTCCTAATTATAACAAAATAATAAGAAAAATTAATTTAGGCAAACATCATTTTTGCCTAAGTTAAGCTTAAGAAAAAATGTAAGAGGAGAAATTACTGTCAAAAGCAAAAGTTTTTAACTGCCATGAAGAGGTTAAAAGTAGGTAAGAGGTTTATAATGCTAAACAAGCCAATAAGAAAATTAATAAAAGAGTGAATTAAATTGTTATAAAGATCAATATCTCAGTTCATGTAAATAAATGACTCACTATGAGAATAACAGTTAAAGTTAAATGGGGACCAGCATATAACATAATGGTTACACCACTGGACTCCCACGTGGTCCACCACGGTTCAAGTCCCAGACCCGCCGGCTTAAATTTCACGCCGTGTGTGTGTGTGTGTGTGTGTGTGTGTGTGTGTGTCCAGAATCCCAAGAGGAGAATGGAAGAGAAGGGACTGTGGTGTGGCCATACCCTCTGGAGGGTGATTTCTTGCTTTCTATCTCTGTCTCTCTGGCGAGCACATGTGCCCTATAGCAAAAATCTCTCTTTTTAAAAAAAGAGTTAAATGAACAATTACATTAAAAAAAACTATAACATGTAAAGACCAAATCACATATTGAGAAAGTACTTATAAGTTCTCAAATTACAAAAGAACTGTCACTGCCACTGTTGTTTTTAGTGTTGGAATAGAAGGGCTGAAGAAAGACTAATATTTGTTAAGTACTTTACATGCATTCTCCTTTGATCCTCTTAATTATGTCTTTATTATAGAGATTAACATCCTAAGAGGATATTTCTAAGAGGATATTAGGTATCTATTAATAGAGGGAAAAAACAAAAAACCACTGAGGTTCTAGAGATTAAAGAACTTCCAAAAAACAAAAAATCACATAACAAAATCAGTAGTTACAGATCAAACTTAAGTTTTGTTCCTATAAGCAAATCGCAGAGTAAAGATAAAAATGTTTACATACATCCTGAAAACAAAGTGTCAAAAACCTGACAGACAAGAGAATAAGTCAAAACTGGTTCAAAAAACTTGCTTTTTTTCTTGTCATAAATAGCCTTGTTTTTATATATAGACATACATCCTACTGATTCAGTCTTGTATTGATTAGAAATGACGTCTGATTGCTCCAAAAATTCAATTTACCTTTGAATGGTAAAGATCTGTCCCCTCATTTTACGGATAATGCCCGGAGAAATTAAGTGACATGACCCAGGTAATTCCAAAAGAGGATTTCTCAAAATGTTTAAATTCAACCACAGGCAGAGTCTTAAATATGGCTTTGCTTAGGGAGGAAACATTAATTTGATTAATACATTTTAGAAGCTAGTTTCTTTTTATAGTCTTTGTAACAGTCTCTTTATAGTCTCTTTATAGCATAGTATAATAGAGTAGTTAAGAGCAAAGCTCTAGAGTCAAGACTGCTTTAGTTTAGATCTCAATTATAGTACTCACTAGTTAGGAATCTAGGTTCTATGACTCCATTTTTTTATTATTTATTTATTTACTTAGTTATTTTTATTATTTTAATTTAGCCAGAGAGGGGCAGAGTGTGAGAGCAAGGCCCTCATCTTCTGACAATTTTTAATAAAAAGGAAACTCAGCCGGCAGGTGGCACTGGATTCCCACATGGTCAACTGCAGTTCGAGTGCCAGACCTGGCAGCTTGCTTTCACACTTTCCCTTTATCGCTCTCTCGCTCTGTCCCTTTCTGGTCAAATTAAAATAAATAAATAAAGTTAAATAAAATAATTCTTAAAAAGAAAAAAAGTCAGAAGGCACATGGACTTGCCAGAGAGAGACAGAGAAAGAAAGGGAAAGAAATAAATCACCCCACAATGGGGCTGATTGTGGTGCAATCTTTTCTCCCCCATTTTTCCATCCTGGCAGAATTTGAGGAATATGCACACATATGCCTTGTGTGTTTTTTAAGCTGCCAGGGCTGGGATTTGAACCATGTAGTTGGCCATGTGGATCCAGCCACCTTAACTAGCAGGCTATGGAGCTAGCCCCCCAGTTTCCTTATCTATGAAAGGATGTCCTCCCTCACAAGGCTGTTTCAAGGTTTAAATAAATGAATAATCATTAAAGTGCTTAAAACAGTGCTTTGAGTCTTAAGCATGCCCATAAAATTGGTAACCAGTATTATGATTCCTTTATAGTCATTTCTCAAAGGCTAACCAGACAAATACTAGAAATAGCTTTAGGACACTCATGGTCTTGTTGAACTCTAGAGTAAATAGTGAGACTCTAGCCCAGAGCATCCCCAGCTTGAAAGTGGACAATGACTTTGTTTGTCAGGAATCCACAGTTGCAGAAAACCAAAAGGAAATGCCAATGGGAGTTTTAACCAGTTTCGAAGGATTCTAGTGCAGTCAGAATCCTCCAAATTACTAGGATACATCTATAGAGATTCATTCTCACAGTTTACCTCTATCTGGAGTTCAGGTCTAATCTGAAAATCTTAATACAACTCGATTACACAGTTGTTCATATACAACCCAGAGGTGCTCAGAAATGTTTGATTCATGCCCTTTCTTCAGGATCACGTTTTGCTGTGATTAAAATACAAAGATTTTCAATATACAAATAAATCACAGTAAATCTCACAACAAAGTATACTACTCCACAAAAAGCAGGAAGTTGGCCTTTTTTGTCTGCTATTGAATTCTTGGTTCCTCAAAATAGTTCATGGCACATAGTAATAAATGGGGCCAACGGCTGATGTGGAGGTTACGGCAGCTAGATCCCACGTGGTCAGCTGCGCGATGTGAGTCCCATACTTGGCAGCTTGAGGATCACGCCAGGCACGTGTGCCTGAATACCTAAAACACTGAGACGAGATTAGAAAAGAAAGGCATGCAGGGCGGTCATCTCCCCTCAGGGTGCTTTCTCACTTTTCTTCTCTCTCTTTGTCTGTGTCTGTCTCTGGCAAGCACATGCATCTTATTACAAAAAGTAAAAAAAAGAAGAAGAAATGTGTAGGAAGCACTTTTTTTTTTTTTTTTTGAATGAATGCTTCTCCTTCTTTCCTTCACTGCCCTATGAAACTATATTTAAAGGAGAAATTAATTATCTGATATCACTAGTAGCGGTCTCAGGTATGAGAATAAGAAGTGTATATACACACACATACACAGAGAAGTGTACACACACACACACATATACACACATATAATTTTTTTTTTAAGGTTTTTGCCACAAGGCACATGTACTCACCGGAGAGATGGAAAGACAGAGAGATACAATGAGAGGGAAAGTAAGAAATCAACCCCCGGGAAGACGGCCATGTCAAAATTCCCTCTTCTCCGTTTTCCTCCTTGGGTTTTGGGCATGCATACACTTGTGCCCAGTGTGATTTTAACCTCCAGGCCACCTGCTGGCCTCAAGGAAATGTGTATTTTAAAACTGACTATTTTATCTCTGTTAATCTAATCTGTGTAACAAAAATCGCTGATCACTGATATTTTCATAAATACAAATTTAAGCCCACTGTTTCATGGACCCTAGGTTAAGAATATGAACTCCACTAATTTAGAATTTGTGATAATTCAGATATAGTATACACTAACACTGAGTAAAAAGTTTGAAATCATTTTTTTTCTGTTGTAATTACTGCAAGGTCATTTTAAATTTTATTTTATGAACTAAGGATTCAAGAAATTAAATATTCCTTAAATATATCTTCAAATGACTGCTTTGGCAAGTTTTGTAGTTTACCATGACACTCTCATACGCAGTGTGGCCAACTATGAATTAAAATAATTTATTTTGGGCCAGCAGGTGGCATGGTGTTTAAGGCACTATACTAGACTCACCCATGGCAGACCATGATTCGAGTCTCCAATCACTCCCCACCACCCGCTCTTTCTCTCTGGTGAGCACAGGTGCCCTATAGCAAATTTAGAAATAATAATAATAAATAATATAAATGATTCTTTAAAAAATAATAATTTATCTGCTAACATAATATTTCTACTTTGGATTTAACATGTACTATATGAGAATGGAAAATCAGTCTATATTTACATCACTTTTACAACACTCAAAAGAACAAAAGCACAATTGGAAATGGAAGTTTATTCTAACTCTTTACATTAAATACCTGTGTGACTATGGCCAAGCACTTAACCTTTCTGTGTCTTAGTTTTCTCATGCATATCACAGAATGAGAATATATTCCAACCCATACAGGTATATCATGAGGATCAAGTAAAAGATGTATAGAAAAGCACTGTTTTTCACTTTTTTTTAAATTACAATTTGGATTTTTTTTCATAAACTTCAGCCTTCCTTCAAATACTCTCTTAGTATAGGAATAAACGTCAAGCCTGGTTTTACTTAACCATCTTCTCAAAGTAAGTTTTTCGTCTATAATTGAGACACATTATTGTGCCAATTATAATTGGTGGCTATGGAGAAGGTTACACTACTTACTTAAACCAAATTTTTTTTTTTTTTTTGAGAGATTTTCTCTGTAGGGCGCGTGCGCTCGCCAGACATACAGAGAGAGACATAGAGACAGAAAGCGAGAAATCACCCCCCAGGGGGGATGGTCACGCCGCAATCCCTTACAAAATCAGTAGTTACAGATCAAACTTAAGTTTTGTTCCTATAAGCAAATCGCAGAGTAAAGATAAAAATGTTTACATACATCCTGAAAACAAAGTGTCAAAAACCTGACAGACAAGAGAATAAGTCAAAACTGGTTCAAAAAACTTGCTTTTTTTCTTGTCATAAATAGCCTTGTTTTTATATATAGACATACATCCTACTGATTCAGTCTTGTATTGATTAGAAATGACGTCTGATTGCTCCAAAAATTCAATTTACCTTTGAATGGTAAAGATCTGTCCCCTCATTTTACGGATAATGCCCGAAGAAATTAAGTGACATGACCCAGGTAATTCCAAAAGAGGATTTCTCAAAATGTTTAAATTCAACCACAGGCAGAGTCTTAAATATGGCTTTGCTTAGGGAGGAAACATTAATTTGATTAATACATTTTAGAAGCTAGTTTCTTTTTATAGTCTTTGTAACAGTCTCTTTATAGTCTCTTTATAGCATAGTATAATAGAGTAGTTAAGAGCAAAGCTCTAGAGTCAAGACTGCTTTAGTTTAGATCTCAATTATAGTACTCACTAGTTAGGAATCTAGGTTCTATGACTCCATTTTTTTATTATTTATTTATTTACTTAGTTATTTTTATTATTTTAATTTAGCCAGAGAGGGGCAGAGTGTGAGAGCAAGGCCCTCATCTTCTGACAATTTTTAATAAAAAGGAAACTCAGCCGGCAGGTGGCACTGGATTCCCACATGGTCAACTGCAGTTCGAGTGCCAGACCTGGCAGCTTGCTTTCACACTTTCCCTTTATCGCTCTCTCGCTCTGTCCCTTTCTGGTCAAATTAAAATAAATAAATAAAGTTAAATAAAATAATTCTTAAAAAGAAAAAAAGTCAGAAGGCACATGGACTTGCCAGAGAGAGACAGAGAAAGAAAGGGAAAGAAATAAATCACCCCACAATGGGGCTGATTGTGGTGCAATCTTTTCTCCCCCATTTTTCCATCCTGGCAGAATTTGAGGAATATGCACACATATGCCCTGTGTGTTTTTTAAGCTGCCAGGGCTGGGATTTGAACCATGTAGTTGGCCATGTGGATCCAGCCACCTTAACTAGCAGGCTATGGAGCTAGCCCCCCAGTTTCCTTATCTATGAAAGGATGTCCTCCCTCACAAGGCTGTTTCAAGGTTTAAATAAATGAATAATCATTAAAGTGCTTAAAACAGTGCTTTGAGTCTTAAGCATGCCCATAAAATTGGTAACCAGTATTATGATTCCTTTATAGTCATTTCTCAAAGGCTAACCAGACAAATACTAGAAATAGCTTTAGGACACTCATGGTCTTGTTGAACTCTAGAGTAAATAGTGAGACTCTAGCCCAGAGCATCCCCAGCTTGAAAGTGGACAATGACTTTGTTTGTCAGGAATCCACAGTTGCAGAAAACCAAAAGGAAATGCCAATGGGAGTTTTAACCAGTTTCGAAGGATTCTAGTGCAGTCAGAATCCTCCAAATTACTAGGATACATCTATAGAGATTCATTCTCACAGTTTACCTCTATCTGGAGTTCAGGTCTAATCTGAAAATCTTAATACAACTCGATTACACAGTTGTTCATATACAACCCAGAGGTGCTCAGAAATGTTTGATTCATGCCCTTTCTTCAGGATCACGTTTTGCTGTGATTAAAATACAAAGATTTTCAATATACAAATAAATCACAGTAAATCTCACAACAAAGTATACTACTCCACAAAAAGCAGGAAGTTGGCCTTTTTTGTCTGCTATTGAATTCTTGGTTCCTCAAAATAGTTCATGGCACATAGTAATAAATGGGGCCAACGGCTGATGTGGAGGTTACGGCAGCTAGATCCCACGTGGTCAGCTGCGCGATGTGAGTCCCATACTTGGCAGCTTGAGGATCACGCCAGGCACGTGTGCCTGAATACCTAAAACACTGAGACGAGATTAGAAAAGAAAGGCATGCAGGGCGGTCATCTCCCCTCAGGGTGCTTTCTCACTTTTCTTCTCTCTCTTTGTCTGTGTCTGTCTCTGGCAAGCACATGCATCTTATTACAAAAAGTAAAAAAAAGAAGAAGAAATGTGTAGGAAGCACTTTTTTTTTTTTTTTTTGAATGAATGCTTCTCCTTCTTTCCTTCACTGCCCTATGAAACTATATTTAAAGGAGAAATTAATTATCTGATATCACTAGTAGCGGTCTCAGGTATGAGAATAAGAAGTGTATATACACACACATACACAGAGAAGTGTACACACACACACACATATACACACATATAATTTTTTTTTTAAGGTTTTTGCCACAAGGCACATGTACTCACCGGAGAGATGGAAAGACAGAGAGATACAATGAGAGGGAAAGTAAGAAATCAACCCCCGGGAAGACGGCCATGTCAAAATTCCCTCTTCTCCGTTTTCCTCCTTGGGTTTTGGGCATGCATACACTTGTGCCCAGTGTGATTTTAACCTCCAGGCCACCTGCTGGCCTCAAGGAAATGTGTATTTTAAAACTGACTATTTTATCTCTGTTAATCTAATCTGTGTAACAAAAATCGCTGATCACTGATATTTTCATAAATACAAATTTAAGCCCACTGTTTCATGGACCCTAGGTTAAGAATATGAACTCCACTAATTTAGAATTTGTGATAATTCAGATATAGTATACACTAACACTGAGTAAAAAGTTTGAAATCATTTTTTTTCTGTTGTAATTACTGCAAGGTCATTTTAAATTTTATTTTATGAACTAAGGATTCAAGAAATTAAATATTCCTTAAATATATCTTCAAATGACTGCTTTGGCAAGTTTTGTAGTTTACCATGACACTCTCATACGCAGTGTGGCCAACTATGAATTAAAATAATTTATTTTGGGCCAGCAGGTGGCATGGTGTTTAAGGCACTATACTAGACTCACCCATGGCAGACCATGATTCGAGTCTCCAATCACTCCCCACCACCCGCTCTTTCTCTCTGGTGAGCACAGGTGCCCTATAGCAAATTTAGAAATAATAATAATAAATAATATAAATGATTCTTTAAAAAATAATAATTTATCTGCTAACATAATATTTCTACTTTGGATTTAACATGTACTATATGAGAATGGAAAATCAGTCTATATTTACATCACTTTTACAACACTCAAAAGAACAAAAGCACAATTGGAAATGGAAGTTTATTCTAACTCTTTACATTAAATACCTGTGTGACTATGGCCAAGCACTTAACCTTTCTGTGTCTTAGTTTTCTCATGCATATCACAGAATGAGAATATATTCCAACCCATACAGGTATATCATGAGGATCAAGTAAAAGATGTATAGAAAAGCACTGTTTTTCACTTTTTTTTAAATTACAATTTGGATTTTTTTTCATAAACTTCAGCCTTCCTTCAAATACTCTCTTAGTATAGGAATAAACGTCAAGCCTGGTTTTACTTAACCATCTTCTCAAAGTAAGTTTTTCGTCTATAATTGAGACACATTATTGTGCCAATTATAATTGGTGGCTATGGAGAAGGTTACACTACTTACTTAAACCAAATTTTTTTTTTTTTTTTGAGAGATTTTCTCTGTAGGGCGCGTGCGCTCGCCAGACATACAGAGAGAGACATAGAGACAGAAAGCGAGAAATCACCCCCCAGGGGGGATGGTCACGCCGCAATCCCTTCTCCTCCATTCTCCTCTCGGGATCTTGGGCACGCACGCACACGCGCCCGGCGTGAGTTTTAAGCCACCGGGTCCGGGACACGAACCGCGGTCGACTACATGGGAATCCAGCGACATAGCCATTACGCTAACTGCTAGTTCCCAAACCAAATTTTTTTTTAGAGAGAGATTTTTGCTATAGGGCACATGTGCTCGCCAGAGAGACAGAAAGTGAGAAATCACCCCCATGGGGGATGGCCACAGTGCAATCCCTTCTCCTCCATTCTCCTCTCGGGATCTTGGGCACGCACGCACACGCGCCCGGCGTGAGTTTTAAGCCACCAAGTCCAGGACTCAAACCGTGGTCGATTAAGTGGGAGTCTAGCAATGTAACCATTACACCATCCGCTGGTCCCTCCAAATTGTTGTATGATAAGCAACATGAAAAATCGACATAAATATGAGGTTTATGAATATCATAGTAATTTATTTCAACTTACTCTTTTTTCCTACGACCATGAAAAAAACTGGCCCATTCAAAGCACGTTTTTTTGCTTCCAACCCAAAAAATTGAGGGAATGCCAACTATGAGAGCCATCAGGTACTTCATGAGAAAGAGAATCAGGTCTGGACGACTCATTTGGGTAACCTATAAGAAGGGAAAAGAAAAATGTTTTAAAGATATAGAAAGAGCTTTCTATTGAAGATCATTAGAAAATCTTGCACATAAAATAAGCAATAGTTAAAATGATCCTACAAATATGATATTTTCATTTATAAGTTCTATAGGTTTTAACTTTTTTTTCTTTTATTGCTAGAAGATGTGTGCACTTATCAGAGAAAGACAGAGGGAAAAAACACCTCCTAAAGGGGCATGATCATGCCACAATCCTTTTTCTTCCATTTCTCCACCCTTTGGGGCACATACACACACACACATATCTAGTGCATTTAAAAGCCACAAGGAGGGACCAGAAGTTAGCGTAATGGCTATGTCACTGGATTTCCGTGTAGTCAACTGCGGTTCGAGTCCCGGACCCGGTGGCTTAAACTCACACTGGGCACATGTACATGCATGCTCAAGATCCTGAGAGGAGAGTGGAGGAGAAGGGATTGCAGCGTGGCCATCCCCCCTGGGGGGTGATTTCTCACTTTCTGTCTCTCTGTGTCTTTCTGGCTAGCGTACACGCCCTATAGCAAAAACCTCCCAAAATAAAATAAAATAAAAGTCACAAGGATGAGGATTTGAACTGTGCTCAGGCGTGTGATCCAGCTTTCTATGCTGTGTTTAAGTCTATGCTACAAAGCTGGCCCATGTGAGATAATTTTCTTCGTATATGAAAAAAATGCACTCTTGAAAATTTGACAGTACATTTATAGTCTGTATAGAGGAGTCATATATTTTTTTATTAGCTGACATTAGTCATGTTTAAAGAAAAAGATTACTGTAATAGAAAATAAACCCATAAATAAAAAAAACAATAATGCCTATATTCTTCTTGGCCAATTTTTCAATTAGGAAGCTATTATTCTTTTCTTCCCATTTTCTTAATTCTGTTCTTATCTTTAGCATGTCCTTCCTTCTACCTACTTCACATTTAATCTGCTGGCTCTTCAAACTTCTTTAACCTCTGCGTTACACAGAAGATTTTTTAAGTTGATGGCTTGGAGTTTTATTATTATGGTCAGAGAGTATAATCTGTACAAATCTGGTTACCTTAAAGTTTGGAGACTTCTTTTGTGATTTAAAAAATTTTTCTAAGAATTATTTTATTGGGACCAGCAATTAGCATAATGGCTATGTTGCTGGACTCCCATGTATTCGACCATGGTTCACGTCCCGGACCCGGTGGCTTAAA